CTTCTGTCCCTTCCCCTTATCTTCATGACTTTGCATTTGGCGGGTTTAAATTCAGAAGCCTTTGCTGGACCAGGTGCCAGTCTGTCAGGTCTCTTTGAAGTCCCCTGGTCCCATCAGATTTAATTCTCCTTTTAACTTCACATCACTGCAACGGGGAACACTTCTGAGTCAAACCCCTTCCGTCATGTCGTTCACATATACCAAAAATGCCTGGCCCTGGACCGACCCTGTGGGCCCCGCTCGTCACAGGTGCCCACGTGATACATCTTTATCCCATGACTCGTTGTGCCTCCCTGTCAGGTATTCTCTGATCCATTGCAGTGCCCTTCCGATTGGCCTGAGCTCTACTTCTGCACTAATCTTTTGTAGGAACTGTGCAAGGGCCCCCTTGCAGTCCAAAAAAGAGCAAAACAACCCACCCCTCTCTCTCTTGTCTTACTTCTGTTATTTTATCATAAAACTCCAGAAGGTTTTGGGACACAGGGTTTGCCTTCCGTAATCCGTGTGGTTGCATTTTACTCTGTTCCGTTTTTCCAGGTGCTCCACCACTCTCCTCCTGATAATCTTCTCCATAATTTTGCATACTATACACGTCAATGACACAGGTCTATAGTTTAGTGCCTCTGTGTGTGTGTACTTACCTATTTGTACTCACCTATTTGTGGTTGCAGGGGTCGAGTCCTAGCTCCTGGCCCCGCCTCTTCACCGGTTGCTACTAGGCCCTCTCTCTCCCCGCTCCATGAGCTTTATCAAACCTCGTCTTAAAACTGTGTATGGTTCCTGCCTCCACTACGTCATTTTCTAGGCTATTCCACTGCCTTACAACTCTATGACTGAAGAAATACTTCCTACTATCTCTCTGACTCATTTGTGTCTTCAACTTCCAATTGTGGCCTCTTGTTTCTGTGTCCCCTCCTGGAACATCCTGTCTTTGTCCACCTTGTCTATTCCACGCAGTATTTTATATGTCGTTATCATGTCTCCCCTGACCCTCCTGTCCTCCAGTGTGGTCAGGGCCGATTTCCCTTAATCTTTCTTCATAGGACATTCCCCTTAGCTTGGAACTACCTTGTCGCAAACCTTTGTACTTTCTCTTAGTTTCTTGACGTGCTTTATCAAGTGTGGGTTCCAAACAGGTGCTGCATACTCCAGTATGGGCCTGACATACACGGTGTACAGTGTCTTGAATGATTCCTTACTAAGGTATCGGAATGCTGTTCTCAGGTTTGCCAGGCGCCCATATGCTGCAGCAGTTATCTGATTGATGTGTGCTTCCGGAGACATGCTCGGTGTTATACTCACCCCAAGATCTTTCTCCTTGAGTGAGGTTTGCAGTCTTTGGCCACCTAGCCTATACTCTGTCTGTGGTCTTGGGTCTTGTGTGTGTGTGTGTGTGTGTGTGGTGTGTGTGTGGTGTGTGTGTGTGTGTGTGTGTGTGTGTGTGTTTGTGTGTATGTGTGTGAGTGTGTGAGTGTGTGTGTGTGTGTGTGTTGGTGTGTGGTGTGTGTGTGATGTGTGTGTGAGTATGATGTGTGGTGTGTATGAGTGTGTGTGTGTGTATGAGTGTGTGTGTGTGTGTATGAGTGTGTGTGCGTGTGTGTGTATGAGTTTTGTGTGTGTGTGTGTGTGTGTGTGTGTGTGTGTGTTTATGTGTGTTGTGTGTATTTGATTTGTAGTGTGTGTGTGTGTGTGTGTGTGATGTGTGTGTGTGTGAGAGAGAGACTCAGCAATCAACATTTGCACCAATAACTCACTACAGTTGTGACCGGTGTGGAAGTGTGAATTGCCATTACTCTAAAATTTGTTCAATGATTGCAGCATGTATAAACGAAGTAACCATTCTTACAGTATTCATTACCTTTGTAACTTGTGATTCATTACCTTTGTAACTTGTGAGTTTCATTACCTTGTACCTAGTTCAGCCATCAAAACTTTGGAGCCCGGTCCCTGGACCCATTGTGTACCTCTGTAATCTGTAAATACCTTTGTAACTTGTCATGATTGTGACTAGACCTACCTGGAGTTCATTACCTTTGTAAATTGTGAGTTCATTACCTTTGTAAATTGTGAATTCATTACCTCTGTAACTTGCTCAGCTATCAAAACTTTGAGGCCCAGTCCCTGGACCAATTATGTACCTCTGTAATCTTTTGACTACCGCCCACAGGATGGGTATGGGGTGCATAATAAACATATTAAACTAACTACATGTAGTAAAATTGTGATTACAGAGTGTACCACTAGAACGCTTAGCATGGCTAGGCATTTCGGGCAGACTTAGTTTTATTCTTAATTGTAAAATATTACAAATTATGAGGTAAGTTGGTATTATGGCTAAGTGACTAAATACTAGTTTGTGAGTTTAGTAATGTGAATGCTTTTGTTTTGGCACAGTACATAGTTTCAGTATTGGAGTATCACAGGATTCATTATTTTAAGATTGAGATTAATATTTCTGTTTATGGTCAAATGAGTCAGTGAGTGTAAGTGTGAACCACCAGGTGGTATTCATGTAGTTAGTTGACGGGGTGTATCAGGGAGATAAGATGTTTTTTAATGGTAGGATCTGATCTTGCCAGTAAAATCCCACGTACCAACGCCCATGCTGGGGACTACCTAGATGGGAATTTTCCAGATTCCTTCTATCTTGTACCAACTGAGCCCACGGAAGTCACCGCGATTATAAAGTCACCCAAAAATAACTCAGGGAATCTGTCTCACGTCCCACCATTATTGTACAAGCGAGCGGCCCATGTCCTTTCACATGCTATTACATTACTTTTTAACAAGTCACTAGAAACTAGCACTTTCCCGACACTACTCAAGACAGCAAGGGCTACACCAATACATAAAGGTGGTGACCCTACAGACGTAAACAACTATAGGCCAATATCAAACTTACCATTGCTATCCAAAATCTTCGAGAAAATCGTGCACAGGAGACTATATTCATTTATAACGGCACAAAACATACTCAACCCCTGCCAATCTGGATTCAGGAAAAATAAAAGCAATAATGATGCAATTGTAAAAATGCTAGATCTGCTTTACACAGCATTGGAAAATAAGGAATATCCACTAGGAATTTTTATTGACCTAAGAAAAGCTTTTGACACAGTAGACCACGACATCCTACTCCACAAACTTGACCATTATGGTATAAGAGGCCATGCGCTTGCATATTTCAAATCTTACCTTACTAATAGGTATCAGTATGTCACCATTAAAGACAGCATCATCAACACGGCCACTTGATACTAAAGTTCCGCAGGGAAGTGTCCTTGGACCCCTGCTCTTCCTCATTTACATTAATGATCTTCCAAACGTATCCCAACACCTGAAACCCTTTCTCTTTGCTGACAACACGACTTACGTCATCTCCCACCCTAATCTTGCCACCCTCAACACCACTGTCAACGAGGAGCTGCTCAAAATTCTGACTTGGATGACAGCCAATAAACTTACACTTAACACTGACAAAACCTAGTACATTATGTTTGGTAGCAGAGCAGGTGTTGCGCAACCTAACATTAAGATCAACAACACTCTAATTGCCAGACATAATGAGGGCAAATTCCTAGGTCTATACCTCGACAACAACCTAAATTTCAGCACCCATATCCAACACAACAAAAAAGTATCCAAAACGGTGGGGCTCCTCTCCAAAATACGATATTATCTGCCGCAAACTGCCCTTCTCATTCTATATCATTCACTCATTTATCCATACCTCACCTATGCTATTTGTGCTTGGGGATCAACTGCAGCAACACACCTAAAGCCAATAATAACCCAACAAAAAGCTGCAGCAAGAATAATCACTAAATCCCATCCCTGGCAACCCCCCCCCCACTCTTCATAGATCTAAACTTACTCCCTGTTCAGTACATCCACACTTACTACTGTGCAATCTACATATACAGGACCTTAAATTCCAATATTAACCTTGACCTAAAATGCTTTCTTGATAGTTGTGACAGGACCCACAGGCATAACACTAGACACAAACATCTCTATGACATCCCCCGTGTCCGACTAAACCTTTAAAAAAATTCAATCGTGTAAAAGGGGCCTAAAATCTGGAAACACCCTTACCTAGAACTCTAGAACTGCAGACACATTCATCACTTTCAAAACTACAGTAGAAAACATTTTATCTCCCTGATACACCCCATCAACTAACTACATGAAAACCACCTGGTGGTTCACACTTACACTCACTCACCCATTGACTATAAACACAGAAATACGAATCTTAATCTTAAAATAATGAATCTTAACTAGTCATAAGCTTGCCTATGATACTCCAATATAGACACTAGGTATTGTGCCAAAACAAAAGCATTCACATTGCTAAACTCACAAACTATAATCTAGTCACTTAGCCTTAATACCATAATCTGTAATAATTTAAAGTTTAGAATTAATCTAAGTCTGCCCGAAATGCCTAGCCATGCTAGGTGTCCTTGTGCCCCCCTCTGTAATTAGTATTTTAAAACATGTAAACCACACAATATCCAAAATCTGTAAACCCCGCATTGTAGTCCTTATTGAGAATAAACTTGATTGATTGATCGATTGATAGGCATGAACATAGTCGCTTTGAGAGGAGGTAGAAGACATGGTCACCCCAATGGAAATAAGTCACTTTGTCTGACCTTTTTGGGTTATCCTAGGTAACTTACACATATGTTAAACTATGTATGATAATTGTACTTATGTTTATCTGTACCTAAATAATTTTACACCATGAGTGGACCCATTAGTAGCAGGCTTAAGTCAGCCCTGCTACCACACCTTACACAGTATCCAAAATCCACCAATTCTCTCAAAATATTTATAAACCTATTTTTTTTGCCTTCCTAAATATGATATAGTTAATCTGAGTGGCTATAACGGATATATAAGATGGTAGATATTTACCAGGGTGGGCGAGGGTTATGTGAGAGCATCAGAGGCGCTGATTGGTGCGTTTGAGGCAGTCTTAAATGTTGGTTGTATGACTTGTGTTGCTGCTGCTGCTGTTGCTGCTGTTGCTGCTCTCGACTATATCATCACTCATTCATGGTAATAATACATCAGTTATTTGCAGGAAATGCAGTGTGTAATGATGACTATATGGCTAGGTTTTGTTACAAAACTTGTCAGGGTAAGTCGTCGAAGAACATTTAAAATTGGTGTGCGGTCTTAGTAATATGCATGGTGGCTAAAGCTCCCGCTTCACACTCCGGAGGGCCCGCGGTTCGATTCCCGGCGGGTGGGTGGAAACATCTTCGACAAGTTTCCTTACACCTGTTGATCCGTTCACCTAAGCTGCAACATAGGTACACTGGGTGTTAGTCAGATGGTGTGGGTCGGCAGTCCTGGGGGACAAGATTAAGGACCCCAATGGAAATAAGTTAGACAGTCCTCGATGACGCACTGACTTTCTTGGGTTATCCTGGGTGGCTAACCCTCCGGGGTTAAAAATCCGAACGAAATCTTATCTTATCTTATCTTAATGCTTCAAAATTACTTGGTCTAAAAACATAATCTGAATGCCTTATGATGCGTAGTATTTTCTGGTTCATTGTTTGTATTTAATCCTTCAAGCGAGGTCGCCTTTATTTCTCTTGATGCGCAAAGAACTACAGCGACCCTTCACTTCCTCGGATCAAACTTGGTTACCTCCTTACCTTCACTCTGCATTGTATCTCCCTGTTCGTTCATTGTTTCACCTTTAATAATGTTTGAAGGGAAGTTCCTTGATATCGGTAAAGGGCTTTTGATCCATAGAATTGGATCGTCCTTCCCCCTCCCTTCAACCAGGCGCTCTAAGACTCCTAGGGGTTTAGTGCTCCTCAGGAATGTAGTAATATTTACATATGGTAAATAACCTTTTATAGATAAATTTTTGATTGATTCCATAAGAATGTTAGTTGTGGCATTGTCAGCACAACTCTTATAATTGCATAAAATATATAAGGTGAGAGTTAGTGGAAATTAGGAGCCCTAGTGTTAACCACATTAACTATTTCTACTGTATCATAGTTAAGTCGTCAAGATAAATTATTACATAGGACCCTAGGTTATTAGTTACATATGTTACTATGTATGATAATTGTATTGTTGAACCTGTACCTGAATTAAACTTACCTTTTAAAGAAAGTTGTCTTTATGATGAGAAACACTCTTGATCTACGCTATATTACTTTCCCCTTCCTGGATCAGACTGGAGTGCCTCTCATTTCTTGGGCACTTATTATGAGCCTAGTGGGTTTTGCTGTCTTACTGAAAGTGTGTGTTGTTTGTGTGTTGTGGTTTGTGCGTGTTTGTGGTTTGTGCGTGTTTGGTGTTTGTGTGGGTTTTTGTGTGTTTGTGTTTGTGTGGGCTTTGTGTCGTGTTTGTGTTTGTGCGTGTTTGTGTGTGTTTGTTTGTGCGTGTTTGTGTTTGTGCGTTTTGTGTTTGTGCGTGTTTGTGGTTGTGGTGTGTTTGGGGTGTGTGTTTGTGGGTGGGTTTGTGGGTGTCGATTAGTGGGGTTGTGTTGGTGGGGTGTGTTTGTGGGTTGTGATTGTGTGTGTGTGTGTGTGTGTGATGGTGGGGTGTGTTTGTGTGTGTGTGTTTGTGTTTGTGCTGTGGGAGTGTGTGTGTGTGTGTGTGGTTTTGTGTCGATTGTGTGTGGGGATGTGTGTGTCGAGTCGTGGGGGGTGTGTGTGTGGGTGTGGGGGGTGTGTGTGTGTGTGTGGGGGGTGTGTGTGTGTTGGGGAGTAGAGGTTGGGGGTGTGTGTGTGTGTGTGGGGGGTGTGTGTGTGTGGGTGTGTGTGTGTGTGGGGAGTGCTGTGTGTGTGGCGTTGTGTGTGTGTGTGGGGTGTGTGTGTGTGTGGGCGTGTGTGTGGTGTGTGGGGGTGTGTGTGTGTGTGGTGTGGTGTGTGTGTGGGGGGTGTGGGTGTGGAGTGTGTGTGTGTGGGTGTGGTGTGTGTGATGTGTGTGTGGGGGTGTGGGTGTGTGTGTGTTTGTGTGTGTTGGTGTTACTAGTCACACACTATATATATATCTATATATATATTTATATATCGTATATATATATTTATATATATATGTATCTATTTATATCTATATATATATATATACACACACACACATGTATATACACGTTAATCTGTGTTGCCTCAAGACTACTGTACACTCGTTACGTACCAACCCCCCCCCCCCACAATATTATGGTCATATAATGCTTATATAAAAAACTGTAAGGTGTTGTCATTACTATTCTGTAGGTATTTACCTGGAGTTTACCTGGAGAGAGAGTTCGCGGGGTGCATACGCCCCCGCGGGGGCTCCCGGTCTGTGACCAGGCCGCCTGGTGGATCAGAGTGGATCAACCAAGGCTGTTACTGCTGGCTGCACGCAAACCACAGTAAGCGGCACAAACAATAAAAAGGGGGGGCCCAGCTGATAAGGGAACGACTTAGGTGCTTGTCCCGTGCCAGCTTGTAGACTGCCAGGGGTCTGTGGTATCCCCTTATGTATGCTGGGGAGGCAGTGAAACTGTCTCGGGCCCCCTGACATTATTGTTTGGTCATTTAACATGCTAGGTGGTCCACGCCCTGCTTTTCATTGGGGGATGTTGCAGCGTCCTGCAAGTCTTTTGTTTAGTTGTGAGTGATTTTTCGTGTGCAAGTTCGGTGACCTAGTCCCTCTAGGATTTTCCAGGTGTTTTATTATGTATCTTTCCGCCTGGTTTCCAGGGGATATACAGTGCGTTCAGGAACTAAGCGCTCCAGTAATTGTGGTGTTTCTTATCTCGTTCATGCGCGCCGCTGAAGGTTCTTCTGTACATTTTCTAGCGTCGGCTAATTTCGCCCTACTGCCTTGAAAGGTTGCTGTTTGTGTGCTGCAATAATCCAGCCTAGAAGAACAGATGACCTGTGAAGAGTGGTCATCTTGGGCTTGGCATCCCTCGGTTTTAGATATATATTTTTGTGGATTTGATTTTGGCCTTTGAAAGAAAGGCTTCATGCAATCTGAATTATTTTTTTTACCTAACTAATATATATTTTGTTGCATATTTGCAATTTGAAGAGATTTTCTTTCCTATTTAATTTTCAGTATTTCTGATGTTTTTTTTATAAGATGCATCTGTGTAAGCTCTCGATGACAAAATTAGGTTATGATGAGGTAAACCAAAATAAGATATTTTGTATACAACCTCTCCTCACTTAACGATGTACCACTCGTTTACCAATGCCTCACTTACGATGGGCTCTGACCAGTATTCATAACTAAATAATGTATATTAGAGCTGATTTCCTCTGTTCTGATTTCAATGTTACACTACTGTATAAACATTTAAAAATATTCCAGAAATGTTATAGTGGTACCTCGGTATACATCCTTAATCCATTCCAAGACCATGGACTTGTACCAACCAGGACGTATACCAAACGAATTTTCTCATAAGAAATATGGGGAAAAATGATTACCAGTTTCCATGGGCAAAAAATCCTATGTTATGAACTCAAATTATGCATTGATGGGAGTGGAAGTATATAACATAATTGTAAACATGCTTAATACGTATAAAATTTGTGATTTTACCCTTTCAGGGTCCCAGGCCCTCTCACAGACATGTTTCAGGTTCGCCCATATTTCAAAAAAAAAAAATATTTTTCTTATGAAAAGATAGAGAATCTTTTCCGATATAATTGACACCAAAAGTATGAAGTTTGATGGAAAACTTATGGAATTATGCCCCCTTGCGAAGTTTGAGCGTATCGACTGATGTTTAGCCTAGCGGCAATTTTGCCTCACGTTATGCCCTAGTTTCGAACCAATTCAGTTGTACTAGTCGACAAAAAATCATAACTATTTCTCAATAGTAAAACTCTGTTTTGTCTATCGGAATGAGTAAAATGATACCTCCCATTTCTTCCGGATTTCACTATCAATAAAGTGGTCAAAAAATTTAAGTATTTGCACAAATTTCACTCAAATTTCAAAGATGCCAATTTCCTAATAGGGTCCGAATAAACAAGGTAAGACATTCCTGGCACTAAAATACATTTCTTATTCTGTTTCATTAGTCACTCCCCATAGTCCCCCTTACATTCTTTTGCATTTCCACTTTGAATTTTTTATTCTACACATAAAAATAGATTTCTGTTAAGCAGACTACTGCATTAGTGTGTAGAAATGGCTATATTAATATTATCAAGCGCACTTGTGAAGAATGGTTAGACTCATCAGTTGGGTGTATTGGGACGATTTTGCATGAATTTGTATACTTTTGAACTTTGGTAATTAAAATCGACATTTTGCTACTTTGAGCTCAATTTCAGGTACTTTTCATTGTAAAAACAAATACAAATTCTTCTCTATAATGAGACCAGGAAAACATAGAATACAACAATAAATACCATATGAAATTTACAGTGCAAAGTCGCTGTTTTAATCCAAAAACACGGTCAAAGTTTTTTTCTCATTACGCACTGTGCTGCGGGATTTTTTTTATACTGCACACACTGACTACATAGACCCATTCTTTCATATGTAGGCCTACCAGCTTTCTCTCACTAGATCTGAGGCGCTTGAATTTAGGCATCTAGTATGTCAATAACCAGGTGTGTAACTGCGTACTGTACGTCGAAACCCTGAAAGGGTTAAAAACTGCTTAATACTAAAATGCATTCATAAATACAAAAAAATTAGATGACATAAATGCAAATTTAACCTCGCTTTACTTTGCTAATAGCTTGTAATAATAATCACTCTTGGGCACATTAAATGTCTTATTTTACGTTAATATAGACATTTTCATTAATCCATCTACAGTGGATCCCTGACTTATAATATTAATCCATTCCTGAGAGCACATTGTAAGATGAAATTATCGTAATAATTTTCCCCATAAGAAATAATGGAAATCAATCTGTTCAAGACACCCAAAAGTATGAAAAAATTGTTTTTTACCACACTAAATATACATTTTCATACACACAAAAAGGATACATGCACAATGTATATTGTGCATGTACTAGTGTACTAAATGAAGAATAAATGACACTTACCTTTCTTGAAGATAGTGATGAGACACTGTGTCCTGGGAGTGCTTTTTCCTCCTGAGTAATGTAGGTTCTGTTTGGCATTTTCTTCCAGAACATGCCTTATCACACTGCGTATGCCAAAACAGATTTTTAAATCTCTCAACCAACATTTTGCTGGCCTTAAATTCACCAATAATGAGCTACTAGTTCCAGGGCATTTTGTTCACTGTTCACCTGGGTCGTTGTTGACTGTTGTGGGTCGTATCCCCTGCTCTGCAGCAGCAGCTATGGTGTTACAGTAGCAAGCAGCAGCTGACGGTGCTGCTGCATAACAGCTAGCAGCAGCAGCTAGTTGGTGTACAGCAGCAGCTGGCTGGTGCTACAACAGCAGCAGCAGACGCTGACGGTTATACAGCAGACGCACGCTGGACTGTTACTGCAGAAGCAGCTGACAGTCGATACAGCTGCAGCAGCTGATCGGTGCTTTTGCTAACAGAAGCAGCAGCAAGCTGACGGTGCTACAGCCGCAGCAGTGACGGTGATACTGCGAGGGCAGCAGCTGACGGTTGTGACTACAAGCAGCAGCAGCTCGACGTGACTACAGCGCAGCAGCTGACGGTGCTTGATTGTTGCTACAGCTGACAGCAGCTGACGGTGCTACCAGCTGCTGCAGTGACGGTTTACAGCTGCAGCAGAAGCTGACCCCGGTCTACAGCAGCAGCAGCTGACCGGTGTGTGCTACAGGCAGCAGCAGTATTGACGGTGCTGCAGCAGCAGCAGCTGACGGTGTACTGCAGCAGCAGGCCAGCTGGACCGTGGTTACGATAGTATTTTGATCGTATTTCTCTCCTTTTTGAACCAACAGGGTTAGCATTAGAGGCTTTCTTTGGGCACATGGTGGCTTATTTAGCAGTTTATAAGTACTAAAAAAAAAACACTGGGAAGAATACAAAATTATGATGTGAATGTAAGCATTGGCATCCATCCGCCATGTCTTGTAAACAATGTCAACACTAGCTCAGATGAGGCGCTAAGGCCAGAAGGGACCAAAGGCTTGCGTTCGGGACAGATGTATTGATAAGGCTTTTCACTTAGGTCAGGTGTCAAATTTTTAACTGACAAGCATCGTAAGTAGTTTTAATGTAGGTTTCAGGACATCGTAAATGGGGGGGTTCACTGTATATTTATCTTCAAAATTATATAAGGGAAAACGTGTATGACTCTGCGTTTGGCGTAGTCACTCCGCTTCTTTTTGTTACAATTCTCGGCATGAATTGTTAATTACTTCTCCCTTCATTTATGATGACATTAACGGTGTAGTGTTAGAAACGATATTATTAAATTTGGTGAACAAGGTATGTCGATGGTTCTAATATTGGTTTGGGCTGTGAGCATGTGGTGTGGCGCACTCGGTGTCGTGGTCATTTTGTCTCAATACCAAACAGTTCTAGCAGCGAATCATATTGCAACATAGGTGTATACGAAGCAAAAAATTTTCGCATTCCATATCAGGATTGATACCAAGGTGGAATTATTCTAAATTGGACGTATAGAGTAATCTGTAAATGGTGCAAAGGTGACATTAAAACCATATCAAAGATGGTTGGTACACAAACTCGATATTATTATAGTATTCTCCTGCTTAGCGATTGAATCTTTGACGACCGTAATAGTCTAAGGAACCATGATCGTTAAAGTGAGGATGTGGCCTGTACTTCAGTTATTCCTTACAAGTGGCATTCATCTGTTTTCTTTTTCTTTTTTCTTTTTCTTTTTCTATTTTTTTCTTTTTTCTTCAATGAGTGTGTATCAGAGCGAGAACCAGGATTATGTACTGTTGATCTTATTGGTAATTAACTGGAAGTTTTCTGTTTCAGGGAGCATGAGATTTGAATGCTTCTGAGTTGAGAAAATGAATCGTTTAGATGATCGTCTGTCTTATCTTCATGCTTCCTATACTGAGTGAGTTGTAAAAAAAAAGTGTATGATACCCTCCATTATTTATAAATATAACCCACTTTATGTAAATTTTATTTTATATAAATGACTTACCAGAAAGAATAGAAAACTGTATGAATTTGTTGCCATTGAAAATTGTGTGAACTTAATGATAAGATTTTGACAAATTAAGCAAGGTAATACTGTATGAATACTTCTATTCCTAAAGCTCCAAAATAGATAATTAAAATGAATTATTGATCTTTTAAACTTTCTGAATCTGCATTTTTGTGTGCTATTTTCAGCTCGCGTATGACTCAAGATAGTACTTTTAATCCATGCAAGAATTTGAATGATGTGTTCCAGTCTGTATCCATTGAGGATGTTGATGGAGAGACCCTGAAGGTGTATTTGAGAGTGCGTCCAAATCTTCCACAGGAAACCTCTAAGGATGAGGTACATTGCTCCATATGTTCATGGAAGTATATTTGCCTGGCAGCCAGTTTAACCCTTTCAGGGTTCAGAGGCCAAATTTCAAAGTGTGCACCAGGGTCTAAGAATATTAAAAAAAATAATTGATACTTTTTCTTGTGAAATGGTAGAGAATCTTTTTCTAAAGGTAATAAAGCAAAACGTACAAAATTTGATGGAAAAATTGACGAAATTATGCTCTCGTGAATTTTGATGTGTCTGCGATATTTACGCATAGGCGATTTTGCCGACTTTGACTCCCATTTTAGGCCAATTACATTATTCCAGTTGACCAAATTCTTAGCTATTTCACTAGTATTACTTCTATTGATTGAGCACAAGAAATCTCCATGTCAACTGTTTCATCTACAAAATAGTGATCGGAAATTGGTAATTTGGTCAATTAACTCAAAGTTCAAAATATTTCAATTTCAAAATAGGGTCCAGAATAAACAATGCAGGCATTCCTGGCACTAAACTAACATTTCCTCTGTTCATTAGTTACATTTTCAGGCTTTACAAATTAATTCCATTTTGATTTTTTATTGACATAATTCCTCTTTAAGGGGGGCTCCTTGGCGTGGTGAAGAGGCTCTTGGTCTGAGGAATTAGACCGGTCGGTCTTCTTCCTTAGACCGAACCTAATTACCCCCCAATCCCCCCTTCCCTATCCCATCCTCTTTTCCCTTTCCTCCTCCCCCTCCCCACCCCTCCCTTTTGCCCTTCCTCTTTTTGGCCTTTGGGATTTTTCCCACAGGCGCGCTAGTTTCTAGGTAGGGGAAAGAGTACTGGGGTCCATCCCATTCCGTTAAGGTTCTTGGCGGTGGCGTAGTTTGCCGTGGAATCTGGATCGCCTGGGGATGTCCCAATCCCTCTCCGGTATCCCGGAGAGTGGCTTTGGGTGTCTTTCGGGCGACGGGTGTATCTCTGGAAGCCACCTTTCAGATTCCGGGGGTGGTGGCCGAAGGAGGTATGCTTTGTGGCGGATATCCGGCCGCCCTCTCTTTTGTCCACCGAGGTAGCTCGGCAGATGTGAGGTTGCTATCCCAGATTGCTAGTTTACTGGCATGATGGGTAGGGCATGGCACAGGTTCCATGCTGCATCTACGCTACTTGCGGTGCTGAGGTTCTCTTGGGCGCGGAGGGAGATTTCTGGCCCTTTCATTCCTCCTAGGAACTATCCCTCCCCAGTCCCCCCTTTATTTATTCTTTTTTTATTTTTATTTTATTTTATTTCTTTTTTTTTTCTTAAAAACAAAAAGAAAGAAGTAACCTAACCATGGAGAACCCAATCCATGAACCTGCTACTCCCGGGCCCCTTCTTGATACCGCACCCCGTTCTGACCCCGCCTCGTCTTTGGACCACTCTTCGGACACTCCTCATGCCTCTGTACCTCTTGCCGGTGCTGTTTCCTCACCCGCTTCAGGTACTGAGGTCTCGACTGACTCCTTTGATTTATCTGACCTCCGCTCTCCTTTGACTATGCTTCCGGCCTCTCCCTCTATGGTGCGGCAATTTTCGAATCGCCGGCCCGTTCCACGTCGAACCAACTCTGGTCCCACGCCTAAACGTGAACGACAATTACCTGCTGATGATACTTCTCCACCTTCTCGTTCTTCTCAGAAAAGATCGACACGTCCTGCACTCCTTTTCCACGCTCAGTTTCAGAATGCACAATGGACTAAATTCTTCACTTAACGACCGACTTCCTCTACCGCCTTTCTTTCCGACCACAGTATTGGCAAGGCACTCCTACGCCATGTTGGTAAAGATATTTCTTTTCATGCTCTTAAGAGCGGTATGCACATCATCATCTTTCTCTTCTTTCCCATATAGATACTGTTCCTGTCACTATTGAAAAACATCATTCCCTCAATTCTTGTAGTGGTACCGTCATTCTGCCCTATACCATAGTTCAACAAAATTTCCAGACATGTGGCAATGACATTCTTTAACAGCTGGAACTCCAAGATCTCCCAATCCTCAAGGTAGACACTTATGTTCTTCCTGCCCGCGGGCGGAGACGACACCCTAGCAATGTGGCTCGTTTAACTTTTGACAGCCGTGAACTCCCATCCTCAGTTTGTGTAGCAGGACATCGGTTACAAGTTCGAAAGGTGATCCCTACACCGCAACAGTGTAGAAATTGCTGGCGATTTGGCCATCCAGCGAAATATTGCAGATCCATAGCCGAATGCCCAGTCTGTGGTGCCGATGACCATTCTAATACGTCTTGCAATCGACCTCCTTCTTGCCTTAATTGTCATGAGGTTCACCCTTCGTACTCTCGCTGTTGCCAAGTCTACTTAAATGAGCAGGAAATCCGTTTCCTCAAAGAGGCAGAAGGTCTCCCTTATGCCATGGCAGTTTTCATCTCGCCTCCAAGGAGACTACCTCGTGTTTCTTATTCCCGTGTTTCAAAACGTCCCTCACTTCTGGGGTCCCATCTTCTGCAGCCTCCTCTGTGGTTACCTCTCCCATAGTCACTCCTGTATCTAATTCTTTTGCTGTTCTAGGCTCAGACGTCCTACTTAAACGCCTCGGTCTGTTCTCGCTTCTTCGTGTTCTCCTCACAAGCCTCAGTATCGAGAGATCTCGTACGACACTCCTCCAATCGTCCTTACTTCTCAGAAGTCAAAAAAGGTCCTTTAACCCTCTTCCCTTCTTCCACCTCTCATTTTACCTTCCCTGTCTCTGTACCGGGTTCTTCCCTTCACTGGCCTGTTAAAAGTGTAAAGGTTCACCCTCCTCCTCGTTCTATACCTACCTCCCTATTCCTTCCCAAGTTTCTTCCTCTCTGCACCTCCCAGGTTTCTGCCTCTTCTGTCCCTTCCACGCTTCTCCAGTTCCTCCACCCTTTCGTCCCCCCCCCCTACCTTGTACAGTCCATTACAGTTCAATCTATACTCATCCTCCCCCTACCATCTCCAGTATTGTCTCCCCTACGACGTCTCTGAATCGAAACACTTGAAGCAATCTCTGAGTTTTTTGCAGAGACCAAACCACAAGGGTCATGACCCCACCCTCTGTTCCTTCTCTCTCCTTCCCCCATCTGCGCAATCCTTTCTTCAAGGCCCCGTTCCTTGTGCTTAAAACGTTTTCCGCTGCCCCCGCATGTGGACTTTTTAACCCCCTACCGTAGGAACCCTTTTTTCCGCGGATTTCAAGATCTTTATCATTGCCAATCATGGCGTATTTACAGTGGAATATACGCGGTCTCAGGGGTAATCGGGGTGAGCTTTAGATGTTACTCTCCCAGTTTTCCCCTGTTGGTGTTTGCTTACAGGAACCAAAATTACACTATACTGTTATCTCTCCCATCTCAGGCTATAATTTATTGTAATCTTCAGATCATTTTCCTGATGTGCCCTTTAACCCTTTGACTGTTGCAGGCCCCTTTCTGAAACTGTCATTGTATGTCGATAAATTTTTGAAAAAAAAAAAAAAAAATTTTCTTATGAAATGATAGAGAATGTTTTCCTGATGGTAATGACACCAAAAGTTCGAAATTTGGTCGAAAACTCGCGGAATTACTTTCCCGTGAAGTTAGCGGTCTCGGCGACATGCGTATCGGAGATTTCACCGACTTTGAGCCCTGTTTTCAGCCAATTCCGTTGTTCCAGTTGACCAAACTCATAGCTATTTCTTTAGAACTCCATTTTATCTATCAGCTGAGTACAAGAAACCGCCCATTTACCAATTTGAACTACCCAATATAGTGGTCAGAAATTTGCAATTTGGCAAATTTCACGCAAATTAAAAAAGATGCCAATTTCAAAATAGGGTCCACAATAAACAAGGTAGACATTCTTGGCACTAAAATAACATCCTCTGTTCATTGGTCACATCTCTAGGCCCTTCTTATATTATTATTGCTTTCTATTTTGATTCTTTATTTATACAAAAAATACAAAATTTACTGTTATGCAGACTACTGCATTATTGTAAAAATGGTATAAATAATATCAGTGCACTAGTGAAAGAATATTAGACTCCCCAGTTGAGGTGTATTGGACGTGTAGTGTGATTTGTTTACTCCTGAACATTAGTAAAAATCGAACATTTCCGCTACTTGAGCTCAGTTTCAAGGTCGTTTTCATCGTCAAAGTAATGAAAATCATCTCTATTTCTGTAATGTGTTTTCCATTTTATCACCTAAGACCATGAAAATGCGAATACAACGATAAATACTATACGAAAATACACCTCAAAGTCGGCGTTTTAATCCAAAAAACAATCTTCTTTTTTTTTTCTCATTACTCACTGTGCTGCAGGATTTTTTTATGTGGTGCACACAGACCCATTCTCTCACATGTGGGCCTACCAGCTTTCTCCCGCTTGATTTGAAGCCGCTAGAATTATTGAATATATATACGTCAGAAACAGTGGCACGTAAGACGTATTTATATGGCGTAAACAGTCAAAGGGTTAATGAAAGTGCCCTTCTACGCACTGATATTCCGTACCATCAGCTATTTGTTCGTACTTCGCTGCATTACACAGCAGCCCGTATCCACTTGCATAGGTGGTATACGCTCTGTTCTTTATATCTCTCTCCTTCTCGGGCATTATCTATTCCGGATATTGCCTTTGTTTCGTCATTACCGCCACCAATTCTGTTACTTGACAATTTTAATGCCCATCATTTCCTCTGGGGGGGGGTCTTGCTGTGATTCCCGTGGCATTCAGTTAGAGGCTTTTCTTGCCACCCACCCCCTCCATGTTTTAAATACAGGTACTCTCACCCATTTTGATCCTCGGACTCTCACACTCTTGCATCAATCTCTGTCTGCTCTTCCTCCGCCGCATTAGACTTCACCTGGTCTGTTCTCCCGGATTTACATGACAGCGATCATTTCCCAATCATTCTTACTTCCCCTTCATATTCACCACCTCTTCGTATCCCTCGCTGGCAGTTTGATCAGGCAAATTGGAACCTTTACTCACAACTGTTTTTAGTGAGGTTCCTTCTTCGTCCTCCATT